TGAATGGCTTCATTCATGATGCCATCCATTGTATACTAGTGCCTAGCTGTGAATGGTCACAGCTAATCACATGCACATGTCATGTGATTAGCTGTGACCAAATCACAGCTAAGCACAAAAAAAAAAAAAAAAAAAGCTGAATGAATCGATTTCATTCAGGTAAATGCTTGCTTATAGCAAAGTAATTCTTTGCTATAAGCAAATTGTGTAAAAAAAAAAAAAAAAAAAAAAATACTGATCACTTCCCTAAAGTAGTACAGTGTTACTATGGTAACATTGTACTACTTTGGTCATAGTAAAATATGAAAAAAAAATCTTAAAAAAAATAAAAAAAAAGTAATAAAAAATTAAATATAATAAAAAAAATAAATAAAAAAAAAAATATATATATATATTTTTTTCATACTGTCACCAGTCAGTGTCCCTGTTAACCGCCATGCCAGTTATATGATGACGCTGTACTGCACTGGTGACAGTATGTAAAAAAAAAAATAGTGAAAATAATTTTTTTAATTTTTTCATTTTCCGAAAAATTATGACATAAAAATACAACTTCAAAAAACTCCATGCCTCTTATGAAGTACGTCGGACTGTCTACTCTGCAAAAAGGGGTCATTTGGGGGATATCTGTACTGTTCTGACATTCTTGGACCTCAAGAAATTAGATTGGCTGTCAGTACTTCAGGATTGATCAATATTCAGATCTATACCATAGTTTGTGAACTCTATAACTTTCCTACAAACTAAAAAATACATCCTAATTTGGGTTATTTTCACCAAAGACATGTAGCAGAATACATCTCGGCCTAAATTTATGAAGAACAATTATTTATTTGTAAACTTTTATAACAGAAACAAAGAAAAATGTGTTTTTTTTTTTCAAAATGTTTGGTCTTTTTTTGTTAATTTAGCAAAAAATAAAAACCCCAGCGGTGATTAAATACCACCAAAAGAAAGCTCTAGTTGTGTGAAGAAAATGATAAAATTTTAGTTTGGGTACAGTGTTGTATGACCGCGCAATTGTCATTCAAAGTGTGAGAGCGCTGAAACCTGAAAAATGGCCTGGGCAGGAAGGTGTAAAATTGCACGGTATTGAAATAGTTAAACCTCCATCTCTGAAAAGTTTCTAGGTAAGCACAATGCTGCAAATGTATGAATCTCTGCACTTATTTATAGTGAGCCGGGATGACTGACAGCTGATGCAAATGGCCAAGCAAATTACAGCTTTGTCTAGTGACCCATAATTTACATGGCTGGCTTTTTCAACACATTATTTGTGGTTTTATTGTCAGCATTAACAATAGAAATAGAAAACCAAAATTTGTCATCCTGACAGCTATGCCTCCATGGATTATCAACATCTGGGCACTCTGCAATCAATATATATTTTCCTTCTTCGCTGCCATTGTTCATAAGAAACTCAACCCTACTAGTTTCCTGTGGTCTCCAAGGCTCTGTGCTTTCTCAGAATGGCAGCTGCTGAATGCTGTAGACGTTGTCAAGCATAACCACCAACTTTTTAAAATGAAAAAGTTGGCACGGGTAGTATTCAGAGTCATTTAACTGAAGCGTGTACGGATTAGTGTCTGGCTAGGTCCACATATGTTCAGTTTCTGCCTTCCGTGTTTGCATGGGCACAACAGCTTATTAATTTGACTGGACCACTGTACCTACAGGAAAAACAGGAAAAAGGTCCCCACACCTCTTTCAAATCGCAGCTGTAGGGAAATTGTGCAGTGCTTTTGCACAATGCGATTTCCTGCACCCAAAAACTCATTGCGTTTTCAATAAAGGCACCCCCACACATCTGCTAAAAAGCACCGCCTTTTGGCTGCAGGTGTGTGAATGTAATTTATACACCTTCCTGCACATGCTTATATGTGAACCTGTCAGGAAAACCATGCACAAGTCTGTGCAGAACAGTCCACAGAAATGGGGACAGAATTAGGAATATGTGCACATCTACATGAGCGTGTTGCGCATGCTCATGTGCACGAGCGGGCATGTTTTATGGACTTTGGCGCACAATGGCCTATTTAAAGCTATGCAGGTCTCAGGATCATTGCTGAGTGGTCGTGGGTTCCTATTGCGTGTGACCAGATGCCCTGTACTTCAGTATCCAAACCCTGAATCTACTTGCTCCTGAATCTCTGTAGACAACTTCGGCTTGTGACTTTACCTTGCCTACTGACTGCTGTTCCATTACCCCCTCTGCCTGCTTGATATTGACCTTTACCTGGCTTTAACACTACTCTTGGTTCTTGATTCTGTACTCCTGTTGCCCAATTGCTTCTGGCTTTTGCCTGTCTGACCACGCATCCGAGATCCTGCATCTGCCAGCTTGCTTGCTACACTGTCCTCAGCTTCACATCTGCTAACAGATCTCTGAACCCAGATATCCTACAGGCACTCATGTGTCCTGTTTTACCTCTTGTATGGTTTTTCTTGGGGATGATGACTGGGTATAAGGGAAGCCCTCTCATCAACATGGCACTAACCAAGTAGATATCAGAACCTAGCATTATGAAGCACAGTAAAATAGGGATAGTTTGACTTTAATTTAGGATCTTTTGGAGTTCCCCAAAGTCTCTCTATTTTTCTGTGTTCCTTATGACTAATCCGTACCCAATTACATTAGGCCACTGTGAATGCTATCCTTGGTACATCATGTGTGCAACCTTTTCTACAGTAGAGATTAGTGAACAATGTTTGACCACTTCTACAGCCTTTAGCAGCTGCCATCCTGAGAAAGCATAATGATCCTTGGAGACCAGAGGAAATTAGTAGGTCTGAATTTCTCATGAACAAATGGTAGGTTGAAACAGGTATTTGACTATAATGTAGGATCCTTTGGCGTCTTCCAGAGACCTGCCTCAAGATTTGAAAAAATAAAAGTTGGTTTCATATTTAGGTTGAGGCAGGTCTCTGGGGAACTCCAAAGGATCCTACATTATAGTCAAAGACCTGCTTCCATCAAGTTCTGTTCTGGGTCATGCAGCCCAAAGGCTCTGTATATCTTTAGGTGGAATAAAACCTCCATTCCTAGGTACACCTCTTGCCTGTTAGCCAGATGTCAATAAATAGTCTCAGCTGTGCACAGACCTTTATATGTGTAAGCTAACTGATTCTCAGGGCTCCTACTCTCACTTTCTGTCAGGGCTCCCAGGTATGACCAGAGGTGTGTGACTGAAGCAGGGAAACGCAGACCTCAGATATGTTATAAACAATATAATTTATTAACACTAACAGTACAAACATAAACGCAGTGCAATACTAAAACATAATACGGTGCAAACAAACCAAACCAACCACCCACAGATAACAGTATATACAAGCAAGCGTCGTCAGGCAGGCCGGGTCAATATCAATTGGGCAGGTAGGTACAGGGGGAGCAAGCGGAGAATGGTCGGGGTCACAGGCCAGGTTCAGCAGGTAGCAAGCAGCATAGTACAGAGGGTCAGGCAGAGGGATGGTCCGGGTCACAAGCCAGGGATCAGGACAGGTAGCAAGCAGCGTAGTACAGAGGGTCAGGCAGAGGGATGGTCCGGGTCACAAGCCAGGATCAGAGAGCAAGAGAAGTCAGCAAAGGAACAGAAACAGGATGCAGGACAGATACAGGGCCCAGGACAAACACAACACCAAGGCAGAGTCTGCAAGTCTGGCCATCCCTTAAATACACCAGTATCATCAGTTCCAGGTGTTAGCTGGCTGAAAGGTTTAGTCTCTGATTGCTGGGAGCACCCGCTGGCCAGCCCTGGTACTGCAGATCAAAAGGCAGGTGAGTCCCACCATTGCTGGCCAGTCCATTCCTAACAGTACCCCCCCCCTCAAGGAGCGGCCTCAGGACGCTCCAAACAGTCCTAGCTGGGCAAAATGTTCCACCGCCCGGGTCTGGCAACTGGCGGGATATCAAAGACTGGCACACCGGGCAGGACTCCGGGCAGCGGCACACCGGGCTGGACTCCGGGCAGAGGCACATCGAGCAGAGGCACACCGGGCAGAGGCACATCGGGCAGGACTCCGGGCAGAGGCACATCGGGCAGAGGCACATCGGGCAGGACTCCGGCAGAGGCACATCGGGCAGGACTCCGGGCAGAGGCACATCGGGCAGGACTCCGGGCAGAGGCACATCGGGCAGGACTCCGGGCAGAGGCACATCGGGCAGGACTCCGGGCAGAGGCACATCGGGCAGGACTCCGGGCAGAGGCACATCGGGCAGGACTCCGGGCAGAGGCACATCGGGCAGGACTCCGGGCAGAGGCACATCGGATTACCAGGCGAAGCAGCAGGCAGCGGGCCACCAGGCGGAGCAGCAGGCACCGGGCCCCCGGGCGGATCAGCAGGCACCGGGCCCCTGGGCGGGGCTACAGGCACCGGGCCCCGGGCGGGGCGGCAGGCACCGGGCCCCCGGGCGGGGGGGCGACAGGCACCGGGCCCCCGGGCGGGGCGACAGGCACCGGGCCCCCGGGCGGGGCGACAGGCACCGGGCCCCCGGGCGGGGCGACAGGCACCGGGCCCCCGGGCGGCGGCGGGCGTGACAGGCACCGGGCCCCCGGGCGGGGCGACAGGCACCGGGCCCCCGGGCGGGGCGACAGGAACCGGGCCCCCAGGCGGGGCGACAGGCACCGGGCCCCCAGGCGGGGCGACAGGCACCGGGCCCCCAGGCGGTGGCGACAGGCACCGGGCCCCCAGGCGGGGCGACAGGCATCGTGCCCCCAGGCGGAGCGGCGGGCGCCGGACCCCCCAGGCGGAGCGACAGGTCTCGGGCCCTTAGGCGGAGCGGCGGGCGCCGGACCTCCTGATGGAGCGACAGGTCTCGGGCCCTCAGGCGGAGCGGCGGGCGCGCCGGACCCCCAGGTGGAGCGACAGGTCTCGGGCCCTCAGGCGGAGCGGCAGGCGCCGGACCCCCAGGCGGAGCGACAGGTCTCGGGCCCTCAGGCGGAGCGGCGGGTGCTGGACCCCCAGGAGGAGCGACAGGTCTCGGGCCCTCAGGCGGAGCGGCGGGCGCCGGACCCCCAGGCGGAGCGACAGGTCTCGGGCCCTCAGGCGGAGCGGCGGGCGCCGGACCCCCAGGAGGAGCGACAGGTCTCGGGCCCTCAGGCGGAGCGGCGGGCGCCGGACCCCCAGATGGAGCGACAGGTCTCGGGCCCTCAGGCGGAGCGGTGGGCGCCGGACCCCCAGGTGGAGTGACAGGTCTCGGGCCCTCAGGCGGAGCGGCGGGCGCCGGACCCCCAGGAGGAGCGACAGGTCTCGGGCCCTCAAGCGGGTGGCAGGTGCCGGACCCCCAGGCGGAGCGACAGGTCTCGGGCCCTCAGGCGGAGCGACAGGTCTCAGGCCCCCAGGCGGGGCGCGGCGGGTATGCGGCGCCGGATCCCCAGGCGGAGCGGCGGGCGCTGGACCCCCAAGCGGAGCAACAGGTCTCGGGCCCCCAGGCGGAGCGGCGGGCACCGAGACACGAGGCACGACAGTGGGCTCCGAGTCAACTGGTATGACCGCAGGCACTGGGTCAGACATTGGATGGTCTGGCTGGACAGCGGGCATCGGGTCACCAGGCATCAGGTCATTTGGCTCGACAGCGGGCACCGTGTCATCTGGCAAGGCAGTGGGCTCCGAGTCAACTGGTATGACCGCGGGCACTGGGTCAGACATTGGATCGTCTGACCGGACAGCGGGCATCGGGTCACCAGGCATCAAGTCATTTGGCTCGACAGCGAGCACCGCGTCATCTGGCAAGGCAGTGGGCTCCGAGTCAACTGGCATGACCGCGGGCACCGGGGCAGGTACATTGAATGGCGTCGACTGGCTGGACAGCGGGGACATCGGGTCGCCAGGCATCAGGTCATTTGGCTCGACAGCGGGCACCGCGTCATCTGGCAAGGCAGTGGGCACCGAGTCACCAGGTACGACAGCGGGCTCTGAGTCAATTGGCACGACAGGGCACCGGGCACAGGTATCAGGTACCGGATCATCTGGATCAACAGCGGGCATCGAGTCAACTGGCCTAATAGGATCGTCAGGCTGGATCAGTTCATCATGCCGGGTAGAGGCATTAGGCCGAGTAGAGGCTTCAGGCCGAGTAGAGGCTTCAGGCCGAGTAGAGGCATCAGGCCGAGTAGAGGCATCAGGCGAGTAGAGGCATCAGGCCGAAGTAGAGGCATCAGGCCGAGTAGAGGCATCAGGCCGAGTAGAGGCATTCAGGCTGAGTAGAGGCATCAGGCCGAGTACAGGCATCAGGCCGAGTAGAGGCATCAGGCCGAGTAGAGGCATCAGGCCGCCGAGGCTTCAGAGGAGAGGCTTCAGGCCGCGTAGAGGCTTCAGGCCGAGAGAGGCTTCAGGCCGAGGAGAGGCTTCAGGCCGCGTAGAGGCTTCAGGCCGAGTAGAGGCTTCAGGCCGAGTAGAGGCATCAGGCTGCGTACAGGCATCAGTCTGAACCACGGAAGGCAGGCTCACCGGTTTGGATACTGGCAGGATGGTATTGGTTGGAAAGAATTTTCGCTTTTTTCTGGTTTTAACTACTGGAGCACTGCAAGTAAACGCAGGTCTGCAAACGAATGGAGCAGCTGGAGACAGAGAAGAACTGGAGGATGGAACAGGAGAGGGAGCAGTTGCTACAGAGGGCTTTTTTACAGGGTTAAAGGCAGGATAGGTGCAGCGAGTGGGAACAGGGTACTGACATGCGGTAGATAGCCAAGTATACTGGGCTGTAACTGGAGGAGCTGGTGGGAATACAGGAGTAGAGTTAGAAGCAGGACTGGGTCTTTGTAAGCTGACTGAGGCTGGGTGCAACAAATTTGTCCATGTCTGCAGTAGGGGTTGAACAAAGCTGAGCTTACACAAAGCCTGTCTGGTCAATGACTGTACTGCGTTTATACAATCTCTCAGTGTCTGTGGTGAACATGTGGAATAACGCTCCAGAAAGTAACCCACATCATCCTCTAATAACCACACCAGGGACTCTACCTGGTCTGCACTAAATGGTGGCAAAAATTCATCCCTGCATTCAGGGGAACCAGATGAAACCAACTCTGCACAAACCTCAATCAATGGCTGCACCTCAGAGAACACTGTGCCCTGATCTACTAGAACATGAGCGAGCCGTATACATTCTAGCAATTCATCCCGGGTATACTCCTTCAGAGTTTGATAAGCATACTCCCTGTCATCAAACACTAGCAGATATAAATACGCAACCTCATCCAGATCCATCCTTCCATCAACAAGCCAAGATGGCTTCCCTGTGCAGCCACTTCTGGTCAGGATTGGCCTTGGTGTAATGTCAGGGCTCCCAGGTATGACCAGAGGTGTGTGACTGAAGCAGGGAAACGCAGACCTCAGATATGTTATAAACAATATAATTTTATTAACACTAACAGTACAAACATAAACGCAGTGCAATACTAAAACATAATACGGTGCAAACAAACCAAACCAAACCACCCACAGATAACAGTATACAAGCAAGCGTCGTCAGGCAGGCCGGGTCAATATCAATTGGGCAGGTAGGTACAGGGGGAGCAAGCGGAGAATGGTCGGGGTCACAGGCCAGGTTCAGCAGGTAGCAAGCAGCATAGTACAGAGGGTCAGGCAGAGGGATGGTCCGGGTCACAAGCCAGGGATCAGAACAGGTAGCAAGCAGCGTAGTACAGAGGGTCAGGCAGAGGGATGGTCCGGGTCACAAGCCAGGATCAGAGCAGGAGAAGTCAGCAAAGGACCAGAAACAGGATGCAGGACAGATACAGGGCCCAGGACAAACACAACACCAAGGCAGAGTCTGCAAGTCTGGCCATCCCTTAAATACACCAGTATCATCAGTTCCAGGTGTTAGCTGGCTGAAAGGTTTAGTCTCTGATTGCTGGGAGCACCCGCTGGCCAGCCCTGGTACTGCAGATCAAAAGGCAGGTGAGTCCACCATTGCTGGCCAGTCCATTCCTACTGTGAGAGACTGCTGCCAGGTGAAAAGGCTGACTGCTGACAGAACAATAAAAAGGTACAAGAACTGAACATCAGGGGGTACCCTTTTAAGCAGGATAGGACAGCGGCTGTGAGTGAGGACAACCTCCAGAAGCTCAGTTGAAGCCGTTTGGGGGTGGAGGGCCCAATTGTGCCATTTTACAACCTACGTACAGATGTAAGTTATAACATAGTGCAAAAAGTGAAGTTACCATTAAAGCGGAGCTCCAGTCAAACTGTAAAAAAATAATTCAGCAGCTACAAAAAAACTGTAGCTGTTCACTTTTAAAAACCAGCCACTCACCTGTCCCTCGATCCTGTGGTGTCCTCCCCGCAACTGGTTTCACTGGACATCCTGTGTTCCCGGCGCCGTCATCTTCACTGTTGGCACCCGGCTGTGACAGCTTGTGGCTTGAAAGCCAGGTGCCCACTGAATGGTCTCATAGTCTTTTGGGACTTGGCACAAGTATGTGGGGTGGGGGTAGGACAACTAGGTGATCGCAACAGAAGTGGGAGTGGGTTACCTGTCAGTTTCGGGTACGTGCTCCCCATGTGCTCACCAAAGGTGCCAATCCTTAATGGGGAGCAGTCCTTAAAGTGGAATGTCCCCTTTTGGGTGGAGCTGCACTTTAAGGATTGGTTAGCTGCAATATATTACATTTTGGTTTGGGGTTTAATACGGTTTTAACGGTCTGCATACTGAAAAGGTTAGTCTCTGACTTTAATATTTCTGAGCACAAGTTTTTTTTAATCCTTCCTCACCTGATAAAATCAGCAGTCAGCACTTCTGCACGTTATTCCATAAACTGTATATATTAGTTGTGCCACTGAACAAGCTAGCAGTGATACAGTTAATGACAACTGGAAGACCCACCGTGTGAATCTTCATACATTCAATCTGCAGCTCCTCCGTGGGACAATTTGTTGGAAAGTATGCTAATTAGCACATCGCCACTTGATCACGTTCCTGCAACAATTATCTTGTGCTAATTATAAAAATGGTTACAGTGTATTGTGTCTCATCTACAGACAATACGGTTATTACACATGTGCTTGACGAGTTCTCAGTTTCTTTTCCCAGTCTGCTCAGAACATTTAATTGTATGAGCAAGTCTAGAAGAACATTATAGCCTATATTATAGATGTAGATTAATAAATGAACCCAGATGCTGCCAGTTTACTTTTTTTTCTTTTATTTGCAACCATATGGATTGGTAATTATAATAATACATTTGTATAAAAGTTCACATATGTGAGACACGGCAGATATTTTTCTTACAGCAGATCTTGCTGGATCAGAGCAGACCAGAATGTTACTTTTGTGGCATTGGTGTCCATTCAGCTATGTCTCCTTCATCTTGTGATGGAGGAAATGAAAAAAAAAAAGGAGATTAATGGATCTATGTTAGGTCTATGGGCAGGTGGAATGTAAAGGGACATCAGGTTGAATGTTACCTTCACCAATCCATCATGTTGAGGTCCAAAAAAAAAAAAAAAAAAGTGGAAGAGGAAACAAACCTTCGTTTTTTTTTTTGCACCAAGCTCAGTAAACTTGAGGCATTCACAGTTAAATAAATGCATGCCCATTTATATCTGCCTGCCCATAGAATAACATAGCTTTCCTTTAGATCTGTTAAAAACTGATAAGCATGTCTGATTGGAACGGCTGTGTGAAAGGGGCCTTTAGGGCCCTTGCCCATGAGATCGTCCAGTTGCAGTGCATCCCTCCTGGCATGGATGGACAAGTGCAGTGTCCAGCCCCATTGAGTCAAAGACAATGGCAGATTGCAGCTGGACGGGGCTGAATGATGTACCAGATGGTACGGTCTTTAAAGGCCTAAAGGGCTCAGGGACAAGATTATGGACCCTTAACCATTAATGGCCAGTTCCTGGGTGAGGCTGCAGAATTTCATCCCTGAACGCATGGGGCCCTATATGGGGGTACCGCTCAATACAGCATTCAGTCCCGTCCCGCTACAGCCTGCCATGGCCTTTCACAGGAAGCCTGAATTGTGACTGAACACTGCACCCGTTCCGCTTGGGTGCACTGAAATACTAGGAGGGATGCACTGCAGCTGGAGGGGCCCATGTACAAGGGGCCTTAAAAGACAACTCAAACTATTCCTACATTCACCTAGGTGGATGCAGCTTCGATATGATGCTGCATAGGTCCCCCACTGCCTGTACACCAAAGAACTGAGCGATCAAAGACCACTGATCATTCAGTTCTCGGTTTTCAATGAGCCTGTCAGTCACTGGCTCTCTACTATACATGTCCAGCGCTCACTGGAGCATCAGGCTGTGTAGGGGGCCCACTGAGATCCTGAGCCAGCTGCCCCTTAGGCACCTGACATTAAAAATTGGGATTCCTCAAGGACCGGGTGAGTGATGTCAACCATCAGCAGATTTTAGTCTTCTGTTGGCTTAATGCAGGTCACAGGAGTGCAGACCAAAGTGCACTCCTGTGACCTTGTTGGGTTAGGCTTGTACAGGCTGTTAAAATATTGTCAGTGCCCTACAGAATCTAATCCAAATCTTAATTGCGAATGCTGCATGTCTACTGTGGATCCAAATAACTATACTTGACAACATGATGTGCACCAAGACCAAGGCTACAGGCATGATCTCAAGATGTTCAGATAGTATTTCAGTATTTAGCGCCACAACTTTAGCTTAACAGCAAAAGAAAAAAATGGGGCACTGGGCAATACTGGTCAATATTCAGTTGTTCTCTATTCCTCATATGGAGTAAAGTGGGGTGCCACATTTCCTAAACTAAATGAAAAAAAAAACCATCTTGAC